TTATTTATATTATTTATATTATTTATATTATTTATATTATTTATATTATTAATATTATTAATATTAATATTAATATTAATATTAATATTTATATTAATTTTTATATTAATTTTTATATTAATATTAATTTTTATATTAATTTTTATATTAATTTTTATATTAGTTTTTATTTTTATTTATATATTTTTATATTTTTATATTTTTATTTATATTTATATATTTTTATTTATATATTTTTATATTTATATTTTTTATATTTACATACAAACAGATATTTATATACAGGTAAAACATTCCTCATCTCCTTGCAATATCAGCCTAGTAGCTTTTGAAGAAGCTGAAGTGGTGGGCATACCCAACTTAAGATTTATCCAAATAAATTCCTTTAATTAGAGCTGCTGGTTAGCCGACATTATTCATGGCATGGATAAAATGTCTTTTAAAAAGCTTTTAAAGAAGGAATGGCTTTAAATCACTTTTAGTTTATTGTTTCAAATAATGCTTTGGTTTAAAAAAAAGTCCAAGCGTGCTCTTCTTCCTTCCGTAATTTATTTAGGCTTCCTGACTTAACAGGCCCAGCTGAACCTTCCAGTTGTGAGTGATTTTTTCCCCAGCTGCATTTGCATAACATGATTATTGTGGTGATTGCGTCCCAGTTGCACTACCACGTAACGTGGTGACTCTGTATACGGTATTACATAAATACTGCATTACTTTTACACGGTGTGCAAAACTACAGGGAGAACTTTCTTTAGCAACTGTTCAAAGTGACAACAGCACTGAAAAAAGTGACTTTTTCCCACTTAACAACTGTGGTCCCACAATCAAAATTCAGACACTTGGCAACTGGCATGAACTTAAGACGGTTGCAGTGTCCCAAGGTCCCTTTTGAGGACATTCTGACCAGCTAAATTCACTTAACAACCAGGTTACTAACTTAACTGTCAATGATTCACTTAGCAACCCTGGCAAGAAAGGTCGTAAATTGGGACAAAACTCAGTTAACTTTTGTCTCAATGAGCAACATCGATCTTGTGGTCATAAGGTGAGGACTACATGGGCAAACTAAATGGAACCACTCCATGCCCCACTCTTAAAGAAGCTTTCAAGAAGAGGCTGGACTGCCCTCTGTCAGAAATGGCGTAGGGTCTCCTGCTTGGACTGGACTTGACCAGTGGTCTCCAACCTTGGCAACTTTAAGACCTGTGGACTTCAACTCCCAGAGTTCCTCAGCCAGCTGAGGAACTCTGGGAGTTGAAGTCCANAGCCCCTCAAATATTGGAAGATGCTCTCCTGTCTCCCCTGGTCCTTCTCTTCCCTAGACTGGCCAGGCCCAGTTCCTGCAACCGTTCATCATAGGTTTTAGCCTCCAGTCCTCTAATCATCTTATTTGCTCTTCTCTGCACCCTTTCTAGAGTCTCAACATCTTGTTTATCTTGTATATTATATAAAACTAGATGCAGTATTCCAGGTAAGGTCTTACATGAGAGTACAAAGCAATTCCAAATATTCCAAAGTAGGTTACAGGTTGTCCTTGACTTACAACAGTCGTCTCGTGACTGTTCAAAGTTATAGTGGCATCAGGAAAAAATTACTTTTGACCATTTTTCACATTTATGAGTGTTGTAGCATCCCTGAGGTCAGTGGTGCAGTGGCCCAGAGGTGGAGCTCTCTCAAACAGGAGGCTCTAAGTTTGTTCCTAGGTAGAAGCAGATATTTCTCTCTCTGGGCCCGACGAGAATATATATCTGCCGAACAAAACTCCGCATTGGCAACAGGGAAAGGCATCCGGCCAGTTAAATACTCTGCTAGCTCCATTCAGTTGCCCAGACTCCACCCCGCAAAGGATTATGGGGTCGTTAAAAGACGATGATAACTTCAACCATCCCTAGTTGCATGCCAAACCTGTGGCTTTTGATGATCCAAAGTCTGGACGAGTTGTCCGTGCGAATTTGGCTCCTCTGAACGAGTTGGACTTTTCCCAACGGCGCCAGCCAGGTTGTCTCCAGCCACTGACCTCTGCCTCGTTTTCCCCGCAGGTTACGACTTTGCCGCCGTGCTGGAGTGGTTCGCAGAGCGGGTTGACCGCATCATCCTGCTCTTCGACGCCCACAAGCTGGACATCTCGGACGAGTTTTCAGAGGTGATCAAAGGCCTGAAGAACCACGAGGACAAGATCCGGGTGGTGCTGAACAAGGCGGACCAGATCGAGACGCAGCAGCTGATGCGGGTCTATGGGGCGCTGATGTGGTCTCTGGGCAAGATCATCAACACCCCGGAAGTGGTGCGCGTCTACATAGGATCCTTCTGGTCGCACCCGCTGCTGATCCCGGACAACCGTAAACTCTTCGAGGCCGAGGAACAAGATCTCTTCAAGGACATCCAGTCACTGCCCCGCAATGCCGCCCTCCGGAAGCTGAACGACCTCATCAAGAGGGCCCGGCTGGCGAAGGTCAGTGTTGTGACCCAGCTCCCCAAACACGACAAAGCCTCAGAAGTGAACTCAAAAAGATTCCTTTATTAGGAGCACCAGCACCCGCGGCAAAAAGTTTCTCATCGCCGGCTAACACGTCCGTCCGGTCAGAAGATGAATAGTTGTCTGCCACATCTGTTCATCTCCTGCCTTTTATCCCTAGAGTTCAGGTGGGGCTTCGCTAGCAGCGGTGGCTCTTCCATCCCAAGGACCGGCCCATAGATTTCCATTGTTCTCCTCTCCTCTGCCTTCTGTGCAGCCATGTGTCAGACACTGGACCCAGCTGTTCCTCCTCTTCCTCATCAGCACCTCCTGAGCTGGGGGCTGTAGACTCTCCATCGGAGGGTTGACAGACGGCCCAGGCCCTCTCCTCCCCCCCCCTCTCTCCCTCCCCCCCTCTTCTCTCTGCCAGCTCCATTCCCTCTTCCCCCTCGGAGATCTCAGGTTGCCCTGATGCTGAACCTAACTCCCATGCCTCCTCCTCCTCCTCTGATTTGGCTCCTGGAGGGGCCGGCGGCCTACAGGCCCAATATTCAGAAGCCCTGCCCATCCAGACATTTTGGAGATGGTTGGGGATGATGGAGATTGCAGTGGGGATGGGGACAGGTAGCCTTCGACATCTTTGGAGTCTGGCTAGGAGGCAAAGGTCCGTCAGGTGCAAAGAATCAGGACCGTGTGTTAAGCGTTTAGCAATCGCACTTATAAGGTAGTCCCCGAACTTATAACGGTTCACTTAGTGACCGTTCAAATTGACACTGAAAAAAGTGACTTATGACCGCTTTTCACAGTTATGACCCTTGCGGCATCCCCATGGTCCCGTAACCAAAATTCAGACCCTTGGCAACCGATTCATATTTATGACGGTCACTGTGTCCCGGCATCATGTGATCCCCTTTTGCGACTTTCTGACAGTGAGGAAGCCAGATTCATTTAGTAACCATGTTGCTAATTTAACAACTGCAGGGATTCACTTAACAACCGTGCCAAGGAAGGTCGTAAAATGGAGCAAACTTCACCTAACAATTGTCTCGCTTAGCAACAAAAAAATTGGGCTCAATTGTAGTCGTAGGTCAAGGACTACCAGTATACCACTTCATAGTTCAGTTCCAGTTAGGCTGATTTTATTGGTCTTGCCTGTAGGAAATAGGCAATGGGACGCTGTGGCTCATTGGCTAAGAAGCTGAGCTTGTCGATCAGAAAGATGGACAGTTCGGCGGTTCGAATCCCTAGCAGTGCGTAACAGGAGTGAGCTCCCGTGACTTGACCCAGCTTCTGCCAACTTAGCAGTTCGAAAGGACATAAAAAATGCAAGTAGAAAAATAGGAACCACGTTTGGTGGGAAAGGAACAGCGTTCCGTGCGCCTTCGGCGTTGAGTCATGCCGGCCACATGACCACGGACACGTCTTTGGACAGTGCCGGCTCTTCGGCTTTGAAACGGAGATGAGCACTGCCCCCTAGAGTCGGGAATGACCAGTACGCATGTGCAAGGGGAACATTTACCTATAGAAAATAGCCTCGTTTAAAGGTTAGCAGAGAAAAGTTAAGAGAATTCAAGAGGATTTAAACCATTTATGAGAATGTAACGATTCCAGGCTGATTCCTTTCTTGACACTGCCCCCCTCCTTCTCCTTACACAGGCAGGCAGACGCTTGCCAGTCCCCTAAAGCAGGACCGTCAAACTCTCTATACCATTGAGGGGGGGGGGGGCGTATCAGGGTTGTGTTGGACCTCAGGGTGTGTGTGTGTGTGTGTGTGTGTGTGTGTGTGTGTGTGGCCAGGGTGGGCGTGGCCATCTTGATGTCACTTGTGTCAGTGGTGCCTATGGTGGCCCAAGCACTCTGCCAGCAGGGCTCCCAAGCTCCATTTTTGGCTGCGACCCCCCTGGGCCCTTGAGTTTGACACCCCTGCCCTTAAAGCAAAGGTCTCCAAACAACAACTTCAAGACCCATGGTGGCTGGGGAATTCTGGGAGTTGAAGTCCACAAGTCTTAAGTTTGGAGACCCCTGGCCCAAAGCATCCTCTTGTACAGAGAGCAGACTGGTCTCTTGACCCCCTCCTGCAAATACAGGTAGTCCTCGGTTTACGACCACAATTGGGTCTGGTAATTCTGTCACAAGTCAGGGCAGTCACAAAGCAAGTCATCACGCAAGCAGAACTGTTTTCACCCCTGTTTTGTGACCTTTTTTTTGCCAAGGTTGTTTTTTTTTCTCCTTTACATATTTATTTTATTTTTATATAAACAATCCCTTTTCCGTTGTGTCACCTGGTTACAAATATTTTGTGCCAACATTAAAATATACAACCTTATTCATTATTTAATCTCATCTTGGCTTAATTTCCAATTCCTTAAATATCTAATATTACAACAATCCCATTGTCATTTATTTAACTCTTATTAGTTATATTAACTCTTCATACATTTTCTATACTTTAGATAACTTTTTTTACTATTAGTTCTTTTTTTTTCCACCAATTTTTTTATTTTGTTTATTCTCTTACATTCCATTGTAAGTATACATTCACATAACTGTTATTCTTTCCATTTATCATTCTTATACATTTATTATTTCATTTAATAGGTTATAATATACAGTTTGGGTTGCTTTATTTGCCGTCCCTTCCTTCTTTTGTAACACCTCCTTGTTTTCCCTTGCTTTTCTCCCCTCTCCCTTCTCTACTTCCTTCCTCTTCTCCTTTCCCTTCCTTCTTCCCTTCCCTTCCCTCTCCCCTACTCCTACTCTTCCTCTTCCCCTTCCCCTTCCCCTTTCTACCCTCTCTCCTTCTCTTTCTCTCCCTTCCACCCTCCTCTTCTTACCTCTTCCTTCCTTCCCTCCTCTTCCTCTCGTTCTCTCCTACTCTCTCCCTTTCCTTTTCTGTCATTATAGATGCCTCTTTCAAATCTCAGTTTATGTTTCCCTGGGATGGTATTTCCTTAAATCCAAATATAATTTAGTATCATTCCTTATTTCCTTACCTTTGCTAATCTATCCTATGTTTCCCCCCTCCCTTTATATTTCTCTCTTGAATATATTCTTGTATGTTTAATATTTTCTTTTCCGTTCCCCCCACCTTTCTCATTTAATAGTGCATCATTTTACTATTAATTTTTACGTCAATTCTCTAACCACCGCTGACTTCCTAAAAAAAAATTCTTCAAGTTTTAAAGTTTAAAAATTAGATGTGTATTTATTTATTCTTTCACTGTGTGTCTGTACTAGTTCCGTTCATAGAAAATCTGGCCTTTTGCGGGTATTAATCCCCAAAAGCCGAGACTGTAGGGTTGGCTTAGAAAATTTCCCACCAAACGCATCCTATTTTTAGGATGTTTTTCTGGGTTTTTCTAAAGACATAAACAGCCACAGCAGAAGCCTTGCAGGGCACAGCTCTCTTCAAAGCTCCCTTTGTGGAAACACACACATTTTCCAACAGAGGATCCTTTAATATGGAAGAGATCTGCATTAATGAGCCCATTGAATAAAAATGAACGATGCACCTAGGAGAGTGGAATGTGGGTAGAATTCCCTTAAATTTGGGATTTAAAATTTAAATTCAACCCGGACCTGAAATTGGCCCTTCGTTTTTGCAGCAATGCTGATATGTACAGTGGTCTGGATACACTTTAAGTGATGCACAACAATCACAAGGGAAATCTTTAACATATTAACAGAGTTGGAAGGGACCTTGTAGGTCACCTAGTCCAACCCCCTGCAGTTAAATCCCAGTTAACCTTTGAACTTTGTAACATGCATCCCCAGCAAAGGGAGAATTTCTTCCTTTTTTTGTCTTCCTCCCCCCCCCAAAAAAAATTAATGTTTGATATGCTGAAGAACAAAAAACCCAAACCCTTTTTCTGAAAGAGTTTTGCAGAATCAAAACAAAAAAACCCCCAAAAGAACAATATGTGCTTTTTAAATAAATGCGGCCAATGAAAAGGAGTAGCAGCACACAGCAAAATCTGATCTTTGTGGAAGTTTTGTGGGAATTATAAAACATTTCCAGAAAACTCCCTTTCTGAGTTCCTGGTCCAAGTTGGCAGATTCTTGTCAAGTTCCATAAAACTTCCATTGTGTTTTGCAAGGGTTTTCCCCTCCCTCCTACACATATCCAGGTTTTGCCAACTTTAGGAAGTATGGACTTCATCTCCCAGAATTCCGCAGCCGAGGTTAACGTACACTGCCCTACAGAAATAGGGGAATCACTTGTCTCGGTTAATACATAGTCCTCGGCTTACGACCATTCACCAACCATTCAGAGGTACAACAGGGGAATTCACAAGGTGAACCATTAGTTTAGTGGCAGTTTGAAGTTACAAGGGCCACTCGAATGACAGTAATAAGGGAAAAATTTACTTGTGACCAGTCCTCACACTTATGACTGTCACAGCATTCCTCACAATCCCATGATCAAAATTCAGGTAAATGCACCGGCGTGAATTTACAACAGTTGCAGAGTCCTGGGGGGTCACATCGCCCCCCAGGGAGCTTCCAACAAGCAAAGTCAGTGGGTAAAATCGAGGATTTGCTTAATGACCATGGTGATTTGCTTAATGACCATGGCAAGGAAGGTTGTAAAATTGGATGCAGCTCATGTAATACTTCAGTTTAGCTTTGGTCCCAATTTTAATAAGTTGAGGGCTATACATAAAGCTAAACAGGACTGGACTTTTATTTCTTGGATGAGACACCACCAAGAGATGCCAAAGATTTAAAAGGAAAAAAAGTTTGGACAAAATTGATCACAAACCATTTTTTGTATCACTGGTAAGAAAACTACTGTTAACTTAAGAATCAGATTTGACTTGAGGTTGCCTTTTCTTAAAATTAAAATTACTGTATTTTTCGGAGTATAAAAGCATCTCCCCCCCCCCCCAAAAAAGAGGGCGAAAATTTGGGTGCATCTTATATACCGACTGTAGCCCCACCCACCCACTGTCCTCCACCTTTTGGCCTCTGCCCCGCAGCAATTTACCTCCGTGCAGCAAAGGGGAAAATGGGGATTGCAGAGGCTGCAATAGGCTATGGCAATCCCTGCAAACTGTAACAGCTGATGATCGGGAGGTGCTTAAACTGAAAGTGAAACTTGCTGTTTGCTACCAGGAGGCAAATTGCTGGGAGGCAGATTTTTTTTCTTTGTGCTA